TGATCCCTGCACCTCCAGGAAAATAAATAAATAAATAGCCATCACGCGAAACCTTCCCTCCACCTCTGCCCTTTTGCGAGAACACTCCTTCTATCTAAAAGTTTCCGAAAGAAAATAAATACAAGTGACACAGTGGTGGGGGAAAGCTCATTAGTTCGTTGTCCAAGTCTAATAAAAGAACAGAAGTGCAAATTATAGAGTTCAGCTTCAACACACGCTCTGTCAACTAAAATCAACCGAGTGCAGCCTTGATTCAAATAGCTGCGAAGTTGGTCCGCAATTCAAAACCACCTTCCCCCTCCTCCCTTCCCCTTCCCACCTCCACCCTCCGCCCTGCCGCAGGGACATTTGGTTGGAAAAATATTGTTCCAAGGAAGGTAATGATAAAGCTTAACATTAGGAAGAGGAGTGCGCAAACTCATTTCCCCATCGGTAATCCCAATAAAAAGAGCGTGGTGCTTCGCTGGGAAGGGCTGGGACGGGGGCTGCGTGTGTGTGTGGATGAGGGGGGGGAGGAGGGACAGGACTCCTGAAATAACATCTTCTTTCCAGCAAGGTAGAAGAAGAAACGGCCCCTTTGTTTTGATAATTAGCTAAGCCCAAACTAGGAAAGCAGATGTGTTTGCTTAGCTAATCATAAGACAAGTTTCTTTCAAAGAACTTCATTGAGCGATGGCAATTCTGAAGGAAGGAGAAGGATTTCATTTTCCTCTCTCCCTTGCCTCCCACCCCCTCTCTATTTTTATTATTATTTTTTTTCCCCTATACTTCTAACATGATAGAAACGCTTCCGATTACCTAATGGGAAGAAAGCAAACCCTCTTCATCATAGCACCGGGCTCGCCCCCGGAGCAGCGCAGCCACCTCGGGCTCTCCCTGCTGCACGTTACCAGCCAGATCTGTTGACATTTTACTTGGGGGGGATGGGTAGAGAGAGGGGGGAAAAAAAAAGAGAAGTGGGAAAAATAAAGTTTTAATGACATGTATGACATATTAAATTAGGCAGTTTTACAATTGGGTTTGAATGCGATGCTAACTGATTACAACTGTGTTATCAAAAGGGTGATAAGATTTATAACTTCGCGAGCACAAGCCTCTCCTCTTAATGACAATAGATGTTCAATAGCAGAAATCTGGTTTCTATTTCCCAAGAAGAGACGCTGTGTGTCTCCGTTGCCCCTTTATTACCGCAGGATTCAAGATCCTCTCTAAAACAGCTCGGCACTTGGAAATCCACAGGCCAGGAATACCTTTATGGTCCCTATTAAGTACTGTGTTATTTACACTTTCGCTGGTGCTTCTCACTCAATACCCGTATCACATACGAGGGGGATAACACAGCCTCTCTCCTTGCCTTTCGCTGGCTGTTTTGGGTTTATATTTTGCATTTCTTTGCTTTACAAAAGGGGGG